TGATGATGGTGGTGATGGTGGTGGTGGCCGTGATGGTGATGATGATGGTGGTGGTGGTGGTTATGATGCCTACCCCCACCGACCACGATACCCCTACCGCCACCACTTCCTCCTCCCCCCCCTCCTCCTCCTCCGGCGCCTCCGCCTCCTCCGCCACAGTTCCCATTCGAGCCTCCCCCACCGCCCCGGCCATGCGTAGACACCGCCGCCGGGGAATCGACCGAGTCCAGTAATTGCTCGCTATGCGATTGATGATCGCCTATGTCCCCTATACCTTCCATTTACGCACATCTAGTTCGGTAGTGGGCGCACTGCCACTCGCTCCTTCGCTGTCGTACGCCGCCGACCGACCACGGCACACCGTATCGCAACACCACACAGAACGCGCGCGCGTTTACAAGTTTTTCTTTTTCTTTTTTCTCTCGCGAGAGGAGCACTCGCTACTCTCTCTTCTCTTCTTCGTTTACGTTCTCGTCGAGTATAATCGTCGTTTCGAAAGGGTTGCTACGATCGATCCTCGACCGATCACTGACCTCGGGGTGATCTCTCTCAGATCACTGATTACCGCACGACCGCGAAGCGACGACGTATACGATCATCTCGGCGGCAACTACCCCGCGAATAGAGCGCGTAAGCGAACGACGACGACGACGAGGACGGGGACGACGAGGATGCTGAGGCTCCACCGTCACGCCGGATCGGCATAGAGAGCACCCGGTGGTAGCGCAACGACCACCGTGCGCCCATGACACCGCGCGAGTGCGGAGCGAGTGAGAGCGCACGCTCTCTGCGCTCGCGCGCCCGAGTGCGAGCGCACCCAGCACCGGCTCTTCCCGGTGGAAGAGAGACAAGGAGAGAACGAGAGTGAGAGTGAGAGTGAGAAAAAAAAAGAGAGAGAGAGAGAGAAAGAGAGCGCGAGAGCCACCAGGCGGATCCAGAATACAGAGGACGAAGTGGCGTGAAGGGGGTTTCGATTTCACCGCGCTCGGTCCCGCACCGCCGCCGCTGCCGCCTCGGTTACGTTGCGTTCCGCTCTCTATCGGGGACTTGTTCCGCTCCGCCCCCTTCCCCTAACGGTCCCTACCCTACGGGTGTTCCGAGTCACACTATACCGGCGGCACCGCTGCCACCTGGTCCGCTCTACTACCCTGTTACACTACTACTACGACCACTAATATATCACTACCGCTGTTCCGCTCGCGCGCTTCTTCGTGTCGCGTGCCACGAGTTCCTTTCCTGGTCCAGGTGCGACACCGCGTCTCTGTCCTCCTCTTCCTCCTCCTCCTCCTTCCCCCCCTGTCCCCGCCACGTGTCAGTTTGTTCGTTCGTTCGTTCACGGAGGGGAGCCGTTCGCTCGCACACCGCACCACCACTGTCACTATCACTATACACACCAGCACACCGTTCAACGGAACCGTTACCGTTGTACCTGCGCGCTGGTCCCGTTCGCGCCTTTTCTCCCCACGAAGAGAATGAAGGATTCACGTCCACGTGAAAGCGAAACCCGGTAGGAATCTCGCTGTTTTATCTCACGCGGACGATTCGCGGACGACTATGAGAGTTTCTAGAGACAGTTGACCGGAAGACGACTGTCGATCTTCGCGATTGTCTTTTCGTGCCCCTCTTTCGTGCTCGACGAGGCTGCAAGGGTGCGACGATAACTTCGTACGTACGGAGCGTTAAGTGACAGAAGCGACCCCTTACCGGTCACACTCGCCGGCTGAAGCCCACCACCATCAACGGCGCGCCACTATAAGG